CCCTACACGACGCTCTTCCGATCTCCCCAAAACCCCAAAACCCCAACATAATGGAATTTATAAAAAATTTAAGATATTCAAATAAATTATATCAGTTCTGTATTGTATTATTTCTTTCTCTTATTAGATTTTAACTCTCAAATTAATTTTCTGCATCAATAGCATAAATAGTTTGACTATTTTACTAATTATTTCTATTCTATTAATAAAAAGAATCTTCCACTTAAAAATTTGGGCTTTCATAAGGATTTCTTTAGAAATGCTATTGTGGTAAATTATGATTGTCCTCCTACTAGAATTCCAGAAGAGGTTCATTTTAGTAACTTATGTGGGAATCATCATCCCTATTAATCTTATTCTTTAGAATATTTAATTCAATCTCCATAATCCGAGTTTTGAATCTTAGTTCTTATAGTTCAACTGTAACCTGATGAGATATGAAATTTAATTTAATTTACTTTATGAAAGTTTTCGAAGCTAAACATATTTTCAATAGATTCCTAATGCACTGAGAAGCATTAATCATTGCCATATTATAGCATGATACTACTTTTCTTTCTCAAATTTTCCTCATTAATCATTTTTCTTAAATCTCTCTTCATATATGACATATGTAAAACCTTCAACAAAAAAAGAACAGCTCCAAATAATGAAAAATAGCCTCCAATTTGTCCTAGAGCTTATCCTAGTTACTTTGGAATAATGGTTATCACTTCAAATGCTTATTAGGACTTTTTAATATAGAAGACTGCCTATACATATTTAGCATCACTATTTTAATCAAACTTCTCTTACTCATCTTTAAAGATTGAAAAATAATCTTCTTAGTAGTATTTCTCGCTTATCTAAACAACTTATTCAGACTTATTTAAGTAGAAAGGGGTAAATAAGAGATCAGTCCTCTCTCCCCATCCTGAACTTTACTTGAATTCAAGAGCTATGGCATCATTAATCTTGTGATTGTCATAATAATAATCTAAATAAGTCAATTCTAAGTTTGATCCTATCTCTATGCAAACAAATTTCTCACCTTGGTAACATTCTTTATAGGGTGAACCTTAACAAAAAATCATAATCTCTTTTGTAGGAATATCACTCACATAATTAAAATCTTCAAAATAAAGTACTACATTATACATGACATAATATCTGTCTTCAACTCTTTCTATCCATACATTCTTTGCTGGTGATGGCTTCAAATCAAGATTTATATTATCACTTGTTTATAGACTGCAAGACTCCCTTTAGTCCTTTTTGATTTATTTTAAATCTATCTTCAAAATATCAGTTAGATTCATCTGCCAAGAGTTAGTAACATTCAGATAGGGCTTTAATTTTTACAAAAATTCCTTTTCTTTCAATTCTTTATTCTCGTCTATTTCATTGTAATGATTGCGTGTTACAGTGCAATCATTTAACTAAAACAGATTGACTAATACTTTTATTGCTAGGTACCCTACAATTCCCAAACCAGAAATTGTGATTATGGTTGCTAATGATGTATAATATTCTTGATTTCCTCAATAGAATAGCGTTGACTAGTATTTTCCTAAAGTTATTAGCCTTAAGAACGCTCTAATCAGAATAGATATTCTATTCAAGCAACCCATTTTAATTTCTAAAACAAATGCAATTATTTATTTTAATTTTTGCTTAATTATAATGTGGCAGAATCATAAACTTTTAAAAATAGCAATTTATATTTTAAAATCACTTACTTAATCTCCTGATTATTCATTTGATTATTGAAATTTTCTCTTCTGGGGTTTTGGGGTTTTGGGG